CATGTTCAGAAAGAATTTCCATCCGAAGGGATTGACAGTTGACATGTTTTATCAAGTTGTGAGAAAAGATTGTTTCGGATCCGGAGGAGATGCAAAACAAATTTTTGGTGAAGGTTTTTCGACGACTGAGTTTTTGCAGACAAAGAACGTTCAGCGAAAGAATCACAAGCGATGTTTTTGCGTGTGGTCGATATGGATATATATATATGTGTGTATATATATATATAGTTTTACACGACATGTTACTGTACGATAGCGATAAGGCTGCAGGTTAAAGGTGGAAACTTCCAACCCAACCGGTTTCCTCGAGAAACAAATAAGGGAGCAACTCATTTCAAAGAAATGATGATCCCCTTATTTGTAATGATGAGGAAAAATTTTGTAGTGACAAAATTAGGTTGGGCGGTTGTTTCTGTAACCTGTTTTTCACCTTACGCTAAAATCAGTACAAAGAACAAACGTGAAAACCTGAGCATTTTAAACTGAAATGGAAATGCTTCTTTGGTTTCACACAAACAAGAAAGGCTCTAGGTTTTTGGTTTTGTGGTTTTGAAGTTGCAAAGACAAACTCTCAAAACAACCTGGCAGGGCAGCATAAATAATTTTATGTGCGCGCGCGCCTCAAACCAGGGTGGGTGAGGTGGGTTTTTCACTTCACTTTTGAGTGAGTGTGAAATTTTACCCGCCCAACTGTCGTTTTCCCGCCCCAAACTTTTCCTTGAAACCTTGGATGCTCCGCGCAAGGAAGGTTTCAAAATCATATTTCCAAGAGCCTACCCCTCAGCCGTTTGACGGTTGAGCGGGATCGTACTTTCCCCGCTGCTCTGTTAAGAAAAAAGGTGTGCTCCCAATCTGACATGTTCAGAAAGAATTTCCATCCGAAGGGATTGACAGTTGACATGTTTTATCAAGTTGTGAGAAAAGATTGTTTCGGATCCGGAGGAGATGCAAAACAAATTTTTGGTGAAGGTTTTTCGACGACTGAGTTTTTGCAGACAAAGAACGTTCAGCGAAAGAATCACAAGCGATGTTTTTGCGTGTGGTCGATATGGATATATATATATATGTGTGTATATATATATATTAGCTACGGCCTATAGGCCTCTGTTAGTCTGGCCCCTCAAAACGAAGGCAACAGGCACTGGCAATGAGTCGACGGCAGGACAACCAAATGACGACAGCAATGTATCGGCACGCCAACGGCAAGGCAATTAAAGGGCGACGGCATGGCAACGGCATGGCCACAGCATGGCGACGACATTGCGACGACATGGCGACGACATGGCGACGACATGGCGACGACATTGCGACGACATGGCGATGACGTAATGACAACATGGCGGCGGTGCGGCGACGACGACGACGCCAATGGCGGCGAAGCAACGGCGATAACAACAACAAGGGGCAACCTGCCTGCCCCATCATGCTCAATCACTGTTAGCCCTCCATCTTGGCAGAGTGTGATGCTATCTTTGGGTGTGTGTGCGTGTGTGTTTGTTAACGTGTTTTCTCTGCATGATGACTATATATATATATATATTTATTTATTTTATATATATATATACATACGTTGTTTGCTTTTGTGGGTCCTGGAGTGTTGATTATTTTGTATTGGGCTTTTGGCTTGCATGCTTTGCACTTTACAACTGGGTTTTGCACACTTTGCATATGTTGTTGCATCCCTGACATGCAGACAACGATTGTTTTTACTAAAGCATGTCAGCAGACAATGTCTATACAAGTCAGATACTCTCAAGTCAGACATGCTTGAGTGCACGGAACAGCCTTTAACGCCAAAGGTTGGCGAAATTGAATGCAAAGAAAGGTGTGCACAAACTTCTGCACGTTCACCGCCAAACTGCCCTTGGGTTTGCTTGAGCTATGCGCCAGCTGAATTTCAAGTAAGTTATACGCTATATAGGTTTTTGTGACACGTTAGATCCCTTCTAAACGCATTTAGTTTGGAACAGGTTCTTACCCATTGACACCTTGTCTTCATCGAATTTGTGAGGACATAGTACCTAGGCTTGCATACTGACAATGGGCAGCTACAACAAACAACCTGAATCTGTTCTGTCCCGCTCTAATCCTACATGATATGTTTTTTCGATCACCATTTTTTACATAAAATGCATGGACTTGACAACATGATCCACATGTATATCATTGTATATCAATTCCAGTTTTTGCACGTGTCAATCACAGGTCCTGTATCTCCTTTATCTTCACCTCCCCTTTGCAAACACGCACATTGTGAAATACCATGGGCCCAGCATGCATGGCACCCTGGCGATTTTTGAAACCTGCGCAGCAATCTAGATGCTATCAATGTCATATCAGCGATGTTCAAAACCCGCTGTTGGTGATTGATTTTGCTCGCCTTTCGGAGCTCTGATCAACAAACCAGTATATTGCAATCAGATGGATCTTGAACACTGCTGATATGAATCGTCTACGTGAACCGATGTTTGGCACACTGAGTGGTGAACAATGGTTAGATTCTTACCAGGATGTCTGGCACAGTGTTTTCGATACAGCTTCGGTGCATTAGCACCCTGTTAACTCATTTGGGCCAAGAGCCGGGTGTAAGGAATCATCGCCAGCCCGTGAATCACTGGCAAGTACTTGCAATAAAGAGAGATCAGCTTAGTCACCTTCTTCATGTGCCCCAAAACAATTTCGCTTTCTGCACATTTTGCAAAACAGGTGACGGGTTGGGAGCACCAATCAACAAAATGATAGGTTTATATACATGTTATTTTGCCTAAGAAAAGTACCACGGCCAAGGTCACCAAACGGGCGCGCTATTGAATATGGTTGGGATTTTGCTTCAAAATGAGTATTGCGCTGTTCTACTCAGATATTCTTCCCCAAGCCCAGCTCTAATTATGAAAATCTACTCCGGTAATAACGTATTTTTTGTATAGGCACCGCATGCTGACCCATGACAAGGTGATATTTCATAGGTGAAGCTTGGGCAGAGGTGCTACGTCAAGAACTCTCAAGCCAGACATGCTCAAATACACGGTCGAGCCTTTCACACCAGAGGTTGATGAACTTGAATGCAAAAGCTTGCAAGGACCCCATCGTTTTTGCATTCTCCTTGCGTTCAATTTGTTTGAATTCTGCGCTTGCTAGGTATCAATGATATCAATGTCAAACACTACAACTTTGCATGCTAGATGCATGGTCGCAGGTTGAACCTGGAAAGGTTTCTAGGAAGTCATGTAAATATACAACATGTAGTCCCAGTTTCATCTTGAAAATTTGAGCATATAGCATCTACATCGTCAACAACGCAGGTTATGTAATGTAGTACCGCATTCAAAAGGAATCTGGTTCACCCACTGTTTTCTGAAAAAAAGGGCTCACATGCTGATAATGCGTCATACCCTGTGCAAGCACATGTCCAACGTGTTTCTTCATCTAAAACCAGTTCACACACACACACACAGATCTCGCGAAATACAATGGACGTAATGCGCAGGAATTGCCAAAATCAAGCGAGCAAGTGGTTGAAATATTTGATACAACCGGCGATAATTGTGAAGGAAAAAAGCAATCAACTTTTCTTTCTTTGAATAAGTGTAGCGTAGATTCTCCTCCTCGAGATCCAAATTGGAACCGAAAATCCAAACGTACAGCTGGACTGGGGAAGAACCCCGCGGAGCGGCTTCCTACAAAGGGGGGACGCATAGGAAGGGGTTTCAAAAGCCAAATAAACAGGAAACATGTTTTTCCGCACCCCTAGCTCCAGACAAGAGGGGTTCATCTCCGGACAGGGCGGGGGATCAAAAAGAGAATAAACCATTTGTTCCCTGCATTGTCCGGCGAATTCATCCCCCCTGCCTGGAGACGGAATATATTGATGCACAGAAACATCAAAGAACCCCGAATTGAGATTCACTACGTTTGTCCAAGTTGTGACTTTAGCAACATGAGAGTTCATGCGCTATCAAAAACAAACACTGTTGTTTCAAGCCCATTGATCGAACACAATTCAAGTTGAGTGCTGCCAGCACCGGAAACAAACACCCATTTAACGTCACATCTCTTTTCCTTTTTTGAGCACATACACAGTGCCGATTAGCATCTTCCCAAGGTCACACGCGCTTGGTTCTTGAAACGAATCAAGGCCCATTCGATGACTGCATTGGAAGGCCATAGCGGTCATTTCAAATCACATCAATCATATAGGGCAGCTGCATGACGACGACCTTGCAACAACACGGCAAGCAGTGCGGTGTCATCATCAAAAAAACGTGTTTTTATTTGCCTGTGCGTCGGCACGATTTTGGGTCTTTGGTGGAAGGTGACACTCTGTGAGCAGGGGTTGCGTTTTGCTTGCAAATGCGATGATCCATGGATTTCGTGTCGCCGTGTTACTTTTTTGGTTTCTGCGACATGATGATAGGACCAGGAAGAGATTTCAAATTGAAGGATATTTCCATCGTCATGTCATTGTCCCTTCATTGTCAAAATTGTAAAAAATGTCGTCGTTGTGTGGTCGTAACATTGCCACCACATTGCCACCACATCGCCGCCACATCGCCGCCACATCGCCGCCACATCCGCCACATCGCCGCCACATCGCCGCCGCATCGCCGCCACATTGCCGCCACATCGCCGCCACATTGCCGCCACATTGCCGCCACATTGCTGCCACGTTGCCGCCACATTGCCGCCACCTCGCCGCCACAGCTGCCACAGTAGTAGTACTAGTAGTAGTAGTAGTAGTAGTAGTACTAGTAGTAGTACTACTACTAGTAGTAGTAGTAGCAGCAGCAGTAGTAGTAGTAGTAGTAGGGGAGGCCGGCGGGCAGGACGGCGCAAAAATGCACTGTATTGCTTGGTCGTGAAACAAAAACTACCACGCTTATATGGAATTACTGTTTGGGATCTACGGCCGCTGCTTTCTTGCTGTTGGGGATATTCTTTGGGTTTATTCCCCTAAGCTTCGGTGCATTTGTCCCCTCATTGCTCCATTCGCCTGAGCCAAGGTGATAGTTGTGGGCCAGCAATCCCGCGAGAGCAACAAGGACGAGGGGCGACTCTTCAGCAAGATGTTCATCCGTCGAGTGGGTCTGGGCGAAGCTGAAAGGGCCTTAGCTGAGTATGGCCGGAAGCACCAGATGGCTAATGCGCAGCTTCAGGTGCTTCGGGACCAGCTTGCTTCTGCCATGCTGACGCTACCCATCTGGCATTGTGTGGTGGATGCCCTGGACAGACCCAAGATGCTGGGGGTCTCCATTTTCTTCATGCAAAATATGGATGAGTTGACTGAGCTGGCAAGAGATTGTCTCATTGAATTCCTAACAGAGGACAGCCCTGACGAGCTGCAGGAAGGCATTCGAAATCCGCAGTTTCAGATGTGGGCGAAACAATGGTATTTGCAGTCCATGGACTTATCCGATGAAAGAAGCATTAGGTACATTTGCAGGCTTCGGAGCTGCAATGTGTTGTTTCATTGCATCCGAAATGGATTTCACGCGTGCTGTCGCTTGTTACTCGATGAGTACAGCGACCTGACAGCCAAAGAGCGATGGCTGGTGTTGGCGGAGCCCCTCAGACTTCTTCCAAAGTTTCAGGCCAATAGTATCCACGAAGCAGCCTACTGTGGATCTGCCCAATGCTTGAGGGTGCTGGTGGAGTATGCGAAACGTCACAACTTGGACTGGAAGGACGGCCTGGGGTGTTTTGCATTTGTCGCCATGGGTCAATATTTTTTGCGATTTTCATCAGATCCAAAAACTTGAAATTACGAAAGCCAGCTAGCTGGCTAGTTGCTGTTTGCGAACGAAGTGAGAATAGGGGGTGTGGGGGGGGGGTGGTTGCCGAAAGGGAACGAAATGCTCGCCGTGGAACGAAATCTCGCCGTGCCCCTGTGTTGAGCGCGAGAAAACGGAGCATTTTGCTGGATTATGTACCACTAGGCAATTGGCTGACGGTGGGGTATCGATTCCCCCTAGGTCCGCCTTTTTGGTGGCCGGAGAGACCATGAGGATGTATTGGAAAATACAATGAAACTGCAGGAGAACATGATAACGATCAGAGGAAATCGTACAAAATCCCCTGGAAAACGGACGAAAACGGAGCGAATGCTAGGAACAAACCATGGAAAATCCCTTGGAAAATGGAGGAAACCGGAGCGAATGCTAGGCGCAAACCATGACGATGCAGTAAACATGCTGGAAAAATACAGTGAAAGTGCAGGAAAATGTGATAACAACGAGAGGAAATGGTGCAAAAAGGATCGGAAAATGAAGGAGACAGGTAAAACTCTTGGATTAATATTAATATTGAAAAGGTATGAAAATGCAGGAAACCAGAGGAAATGGTGCAAAAACCTATGGAGGAAAGAGGTGAAAATGATAGGAAACATGTAGTAAAAAAATGCTGGACAAAACATATTGAAAACCCACGAAGAGGATGTATTGGAAAATACAATGAAACTTGAGGAAAACATGATAACGATCAGAGGAAAATGCTAGGAACAAACCATGCAAAATCTGTTGGAACATGGAGGAAACCGGAGTGACTGCTAGGAACAAACTATGACGATGCAGTAAACATGTTGGAAAAAGACAGTGAAAGTGCAGGAAAATGCGATAACAACCAGAGGAAATGGTGCAAAAACGATCGGAAAATGAAGGAGACGGGTAAAACTCTTGGAAAAATACATTGAAAATGCAGCAAACCAGAGGAAATGGTGCAAAAAGGAGACGGGTAAAAATCTTGGAAAAATAGATTAAAAATGCATGAATAGACTGAAAACCCACGAAGAGGATATAGAAACTGCAGGAAAACATGATAACAATCAGAGGAAATCGTGCAAAATCCACTGGAAAATGCTGGAAAGATACAGTGAAGGAAAATGTGATAACAACCTGGCAGGAAAATGTGATAACAACAAGAATAAAGGGTGCAAAATCTGTTGGAACATGGAGGAAACCGGAGCAACTGCTAGGAACAAACTATGACGATGCAGTAAACATGCTGGAAAAATACAGTGAAAGTGCAGGAAAATGCGATAACAACCAGAGGAAATGGTGCAAAAACGATCGGAAACTGAAGGAGACGGGTAAAACTCTTGGAAAAATATATTGAAAATGCATGAAATGCAGGAAACGAGAGGAAATGGTACAAAAAGCCATAGAGGAAAGCGGTGAAAATGGTAGGAAGCATGTAATAAAAAAAGCTGGACAAAACACAGTGAAAACCTACAAAAGAGAAGAAAGTAACCACAGGAAACGGTAGAAAAAGCAGTGGAAACTGGAAGAAAAGTTGTGACAATATTAGGAAAACGGTGTACAAGCTAGGAAATGCTTGTAACAACTAGAGGAAACGATGTAGAAAACAGTACAACATGGAGGACACGCGTGAACATGCTAGGAGGCATGTAACATGTTAGAAAAATACAGTGAAAACCAAGGAAAATGTTATATCTAAAAATGCTTTAAAAAATATAGTGAAAACCAAGACAATGTTAACGAGCGGAAACGATGGAAAGACCAGTGGCGCGCAGGAAAATCTGCGAAAACGACGTTAAAAAAGAGGAAAAGTGTTGGAAATTGGTGGACAAAAATATAGCAATTTACAGACCTGCTTCCCCCCCCGGGTTTCGAAAGTAGTGGCAGAAGTGTTGAGAACGCTAGGAAAATGTATTGCGACGAGTGCAAGTGGAGAACGTTAAAAGCTAGAGGGTTGGAGAAGTGGAGTGATCATGGTACCGAATGAAAGTAAGAGATGTGTTGGAGAGCAGCAGATCGGATGACTGTACCTCCGTTTGATTGGTGAATGGGACGTCTTTCCAAGGTGTGAAAGAACTGATAGATCACCTGGATAAAACATATTGAAACCCCACGAAGAGGATGTATTGGAAAATACAATGAAGCTTGAGGAAAACATGATAACGATCAGAGGAAAATGCTAGGAACAAACCATGCAAAATCTGTTGGAACATGGAGGAAACCGGAGTGACTGCTAGGAACAAACTATGATGATGCAGTAAACATGTTGGAAAAAGAGTGAAAGTGTAGGAAAATGCGATAACAACCAGAGGAAATGGTGCAAAAACGATCGGAAAATGAAGGAGACGGGTAAAACTCTTGGAAAAATACATTGAAAATGCAGCAAACTAGAGGACATGGTGCAAAAAGGAGACGGGTAATAATCTTGGAAAAATAGATTAAAAATGCATGAATAGACTGAAAACCCACGAAGAGGATATAGAAACTGCAGGAAAACATGATAACAATCAGAGGAAATCGTGCAAAATCCACTGGAAAATGCTGGAAAGATACAGTGAAGGAAAATGTGATAACAACCTGGCAGGAAAATGTGATAACAACCAGAATAAAGGGTGCAAAATCTGTTGGAACATGGAGGAAACCGGAGCAACTGCTAGGAACAAACTATGACGATGCAGTAAACATGCTGGAAAAATACAGTGAAAGTGCAGGAAAATGCGATAACAACCAGAGCAAATGGTGCAAAAACGATCGGAAACTGAAGGAGACGGGTAAAACTCTTGGAAACATATATTGAAAATGCATGAAATGCAGGGGACGAGAGGAAATGGTACAAAAAGCCATAGAGGAAAGCGGTGAAAATGGTAGGAAGCATGTAATAAAAAAAGCTGGACAAAACACAGTGAAAACCTAACCACAGGAAACGGTAGAAAAAGCACAATATGAGGAAAACGGTGTACAAGCTAGGAAATGCTTGTAACAACTAGAGGAAACGATGTAGAAAACAGTACAACATGGAGGACACGCGTGAACATGCTAGGAGGCATGTAACATGTTAGAAAAATTACGAAAGCCAGCTAGCTGGCTAGTTGCTGTTTGCGAACGAAGTGAGAATAGGGGGTGTGGGGGGGGGTGGTTGCCGAAAGGGAACAAAATCTCGCCGTGCCCCTGTGTTGAGCGCCAGAAAACGGAGCATTTTTCTGGATTATGTACCACTAGGTAATTTGCTTGACGGTGGGGTATCGATTCCCCCTAGGTCCGCCTTTTTGGTGGCCGGAGAGACCATGAGGATGTATTGGAAAATCAAATGAAACTGCAGGAAAACATGATAACGATCAGAGGAAATCGTACAAAATCACCTGGAAAACGGACGAAAACGGCGCGAATGCCAGGAACAAACCATGGAAAATCCCTTGGAAAATGGAGGAAACCGGAGCGAATGCTAGGCGCAAACCATGACGATGCAGTAAACATGCTGGAAAAATACAGTGAAAGTGCAGGAAAATGTGATAACAACGAGAGGAAATGGTGCAAAAAGGATCGGAAAATGAAGGAGTCAGGTAAAACCCTTGGATTAATATTAATATTGAAAAGGTATGAAAATGCAGGAAACCAGAGGAAATGGTGCAAAAACCTATGGAGGAAAGAGTTGAAAATGATAGGAAACATGTAGTAAAAAATGCTGGACAAAAACATATTGAAAACCCACAAAGAGGATGCATTGGAAAATACAATGAAACTTGAGGAAAACATGATAACGATCAGAGGAAAATGCTAGGAACAAACCATGCAAAATCTGTTGGAACATGGAGGAAACCGGAGTGACTGCTAGGAACAAACTATGACGATGCAGTAAACATGCTGGAAAAAGACAGTGAAAGTGCAGGAAAATGCGATAACAACCAGAGGAAATGGTGCAAAAACGATCGGAAAATGAAGGAGACGGGTAAAACTCTTGGAAAAATACATTGAAAATGCAGCAAACCAGAGGAAATGGTGCAAAAAGGAGACGGGTAAAAATCTTGGAAAAATAGATTAAAAATGCATGAATAGACTGAAAACCCACGAAGAGGATATAGAAACTGCAGGAAAACATGATAACAATCAGAGGAAATCGTGCAAAATCCACTGGAAAATGCTGGAAAGATACAGTGAAGGAAAATGTGATAACAACCTGGCAGGAAAATGTGATAACAACCAGAATAAAGGGTGCAAAATCTGTTGGAACATGGAGGAAACCGGAGCGACTGCTAGGAACAAACTATGACGATGCAGTAAACATGCTGGAAAAATACAGTGAAAGTGCAGGAAAATGCGATAACAACCAGAGGAAATGGTGCAAAAACGATCGGAAACTGAAGGAGACGGGTAAAACTCTTGGAAAAATATATTGAAAATGCATGAAATGCAGGAGACGAGAGGAAATGGTACAAAAAGCCATAGAGGAAAGCGGTGAAAATGGTAGGAAGCATGTAATAAAACAAGCTGGACAAAACACAGTGAAAATCTACAAAAGAGAAGAAAGTAACCACAGGAAACGGTAGAAAAAGCAGTGGAAACTGGAAGAAAAGTTGTGACAATATTAGGAAAACGGTGTACAAGCTAGGAAATGCTTGTAACAACTAAAGGAAACGATGTAGAAAACAGTACAACATGGAGGGCACGCGTGAACATGCTAGGAGGCATGTAACATGTTAGAAAAAGACAGTGAACACCAAACTAAAAATGCTTTAAAAATATAGTGAAAACCAAGACAATGTTAACGAGCGGAAACGTTGAGCAGGAAATCCGATTTGGTTTCTGTAGATAATGTTAGATGATGAGCAATGTAGTTTGGTGATAGGAAATAGTGGCCGACTCGCGTACAAGACATTGCCATGAAACCTTGGAGCAAGATGCAGATGGTATAGGAAAAAAGATGTATGAGTTGTAAGATTTTAAGAGTTGCATGGGAAAATTGGTTTCATGGTAATCTGTGTGAAGTTAGAAAAGTGTGATTTCGTTCACAGGGTAAGAAAAATAAATACAAGCTGCAGATTAGAGTATTTATAATGCTTAAAGCTGTTTGACGTTTTTTGGTGCCTCCCTGATTCTGGTAGTTTTGTGATAAGAACTACAAAAACGATCTACTGGTAAACGGAAGGAATAGTCTTTCCGGTTTAGAACTGAGTCGACTGTCAAGTGATGCATAGGCTCCAGGCTTCTGGTTATTGTCACAAAGCATTGGAATGAAGATTGCGCCCAGGAGCCACCTAGGTTAGGAGACAAATGCTGTAGTATCATTGTAAGAGGCCGTACTGCGAAGGCTGAAACAGAACTAAAAGTGAATCTTGTACTAAAACATCGAGAAAGAATTTGAATCTTCTAATGGCAATGACGGGAATGATATGCATCTGTACGTCCGTGATAGTATGTGTGCCTTTAAAAAGGGATGTTTGGCGAGTGTGATAGCTGAGAAGATTTTCCGGGATGCCAAACAATTATCTCTATCGATGTCAGGGATGATGCTATTCCGCGACATTTCCTGTAAAATACCTATTTTCCAGACCCTTGGGGGGTGGGGGGGGGGTACCCAGGTCTGTAAATGGCCTAAATATATATACTTTTGATTTGGACTGCATGTTCGCCACTGTTCTATATTTCCCGTGGGTTTGCATTGTTTTCCTCGATTTTCATTCGTTCTTATACCCTTTCTTACGTATGTTATAATATTGTCTTGGGTTTGCACTGCCCATTTTGCGAGTAGAGCTATGTTTTGATTTCTCACCGTACGGCCAAAATGTTGCGGAACTTCGCGGAGAAGCATGGACCACGATTCTGGGGAGAAAACAATTTAGACTGTGAGAGGTCACATGACCACTGTTCACACAAAAAAGCGGGTATTATTTATCTACAATAGGTGGGAGCAAACTTGCGCTGTTTTAAGATAAATGAGCAACCAAAGGCGGATTTACGGAACTTGAGATAGAACTTTTCACAATGCCGCAGTACATTGTAGGAAACATATTTGGATATAGAAGTTACAAAATCGTGGAGTTTACCCTAAAAAGGTCCATTTAATGATTGGAAAATTATGACCCGATAGCAATTGTTGATGTTGGGGCGCTTCATGTTTGAGCCATGCCATATGGATGAGGTGGAGTTTCACGCGCCCTGCGCGAGTCAAAAAGCAAGCGCTGGCTTTCGTTCCACCCCTTCTCAGGTATGATAGAAATATACTGTACTATATATATATAATACATATATATATATATTTATGTATGAATGACTAGAATGTATGATGTAAATAGTGGATGTATATGCCACAGATATGAGCTCGGGTGAACTGCCAAGCTGCCAAGCTGCCCTTTTACAGTCGAGTCATACCCGCTGCATGCTGCAGGATCTGAAGGATTCTACGGATCGGACGGCCTTGGCTCTGGCCGAGGACCAAAGGAAGCGAGGCAAAGAGGGTGCTGTGGGCGTCTCAGACTGTCAGAGTGCTATGGAAAGGTGGGCGATGAGCCTCAACTTGATACTGTAAATTATGTGCTGATACACCATAACCCGAAGCACATCTTGGAGTGCATGCAGTATTTGAACATTCTTGGTATTACTGTGCCAAAAAAAAGATTACACGCACGAAATTCTGAATTTGGCAGATTCTTGTTGCATATCTAAACTGACCTAAACGATCCTAAACGCCGCTCTCAGGTTGAATGCTGCCACCTGTTGCGATTGGAATATGGAGAGAGCGCAACTGACCTTGGGACCTTGGACAGTTCCTTTGCCTTTGAAGGCATTCTCATCATCGATGTGGAAAACCAAGCCATGGAGAAGCGTCGATACAAATATCCCTTGCCAGCCGAGTGCTCCTGGGCACATCTAGGTGCAACTTGTGGCAAGGCCATGCAGGAAGTCTGGCAGCATGGTGAGATGGGAAGGATTGCAGTTCTGTTGGTCTCTCAGCACATCTATGGTGCCGATACTGATGCAATCCATGCATTTTTTCGATGCTGCAGAAATGCATGGAGCCTGGGGTTTTCGAAGTGCCGCTTCATGGAACCCCAAGCCTCACTGCTGGTGCTTGATGCGGTAAAGGAGCTATTGGCCGACAGTAACATGCCGAAGTGGGAGAGGTGCGGGATGCGTTGTATGCAAAATTGAACCAAATGCCGGGCAAAAACATCTATTTTACTGGGAAGAATCAGATTGTACAATGCAATTAAGGCTTCTTTGGAAATCATGCTGGCTGGAGTAGGAAACAGTTTTTCCACGTTTTCCTTGCATCTCCCTACAGATTGTCCATCCTGGGAGGCTGTACGTTTTCCAACCCATGAGTTGCGTGAAAGAGGAGAAAGGCGATCGTGTTTTTCTGGAGGAGCAAATGAAATGCGACAGCCAGAGCTTCATCCAAAAAGTCAATGGCCTTTGCAATCTCATCGCCAGCAAGCCTCATTTGCCCTTGTGGCGTTGCGACCGGCTTCATTCATCTTGGTACATGGACTACGATCCTGGCTTGGGTGCTTGTTTCCAAGCAGCTTTGGATGTGAAGAGTTGCGTTCGTTTGCTACAATCTCCAGCTGAAAAGCCCATCTACCGCTCCTTCTGGCCCCGTTTGTTGGCTGTGGACCGCCGTTGGCTCAACCGCCTGCGGATGCTTTCGGATGCCTCCTTGACGGACCCCTGGCAGGCTGTGGACCCCTGCGCACGGCCGTGCTTGGTGCGCTGCGCGCAGCTGTGGCTCTGGGCGCTGTGTCCGCAGGGGGATCCGAGCTTCTGGGTGCACAGCCGGTTGTTGCAGAGGCAGCAGCTGGAGGAGCTGTGCTCCGAAGTGGACAGTGGATTGGTGGGCTTGCTGATGATGTCCAAGTTAATGCCTGGACTGCAGCAGGACTGGGATCCTTTCGGGGTTGCCAAATCTTGTTTGACCTTACAGTATTTGCGTGTATTTGCTTTTCCAACCTTAAGGGATCATTTCTTCATTTGCCCAAATCTCTCCGTGACTTCAATCTCAAAGATGCAGACAATTTGAGCGGGAACCTAGAACCAGCTTAGAGGGCAAGCAGATCCTAGCAGGCAATTCGCCAACAATGCTCGGGGTAGCCTTGGTCAAGACCAGACTTGAACCACGGAAAAGGGAATCAACGTGCAAAGACATGAGCTTTTGAACCATCAATTCACTAGATTCCTAGCTAAAGAGCAAGGATCATGGGATCTTAGCAGCTGGCCAACACGCAAGGATTCAGTTGTCAACATCAGCTTTAGATGGCCTCATACCGCCCGAACATCTACTGAACAAGCAATCAATTGACCAGCTCTTGGGACTTGACCCAAGCAAAGATGGTAACCTATGATTAAAGTAAAGCATGGATGGAATGTTAATGTGGAGGGGATTTGAAGTCCGCCTGGCAGGACCTGAACAACAGCCTTCCGCCGTTGGCCCGCTCATGGCTGCCCGCCACCGCCCGCGTCTTGTCTGCGGCGGATGCTGCAGCGGCTGCACAGGGCGAGGTGAAGCCAGTGAAGTTGGTGGAAGGTAAAGGCAAAAGCAAGGGCAAAGGAAAGAGGAAACTTTGATACTTGGGGGGGCCTTCTTTTTGTACAATTGTACAATCATACCGTATCTGTGGGCATGACCATTCCAAATAGCAACCCCAAATTCTGGGGTTTGTAAAATCCACCTAAGAGTATCCTGAGCTGGCGGTTTAGCCTGGTACAGCTGCAATCACAGTAAGGTAACAAAATGGTTTGTTGCGTTTTTGTACTCAAACCTCCCAGTTGTTCTGTTCAATGGTTTAGCCTTGGCTAGAGCCGAGGAAAGTTTCCAAAACCCAGGGGCCCAGCAGGGTCAGATCTTGAAAACAAGAATCATGGGATGGTTACGACCGTTGGATTCTTCAGAATGCTTTGTTGCAAATGGCAGATGTTTTCAGCCTTGACCCTTTGGGCCCCAGAAGCAAACGACTAGAGGATTAGGTCTCTACTCTGCCAGATGCACGTTGCCATTTGCCAGATGTGCCTTAATATTGTCCTGTTTCGCTTGCACAGATGTCGAAAGCGTGGACAAGCTGTCAAGAAAAGAACGGGAAATGAACATCGCTAGTTTTAGACTGGGACAATCATCTACCATAAAGGCATAAAGGGGCCATTTTCTTTGCAGTCGTTTCCCATTGGATTTCATTGAAAGGGTAGTAGCATTTTTCTTTAGAAACACACGTTATAAACACCTGTCAATGTCAACTGCGGGCAGATGCGTCGCATTGCAAGCTCTTGCCTTCGAATAGTGACAGTCCTGCGATGCATTTCTTTTCTTTGAGCAGAAAAGATTGGACTTTCAATAAATTGTGCCTGAGCATTCAGGAGGCTCCCTCAGTGGAATGTTCAGCACCTTTGCCTCATGTTCTGATTCGGGCCTTGAGCTCAGACTTGGAAGGAGGTGGTTTCAGAAAGGGGCATGGGGTGCATGGGTGCCAGCATAGATTTAGAGCCTAAGCAGAAAACAAGTACACCCAAAGAAACCGCAGTGCTTTTCCAGTGGTTTTGTTGCAATTGGAGCGTTCCAGGGTTTCACTCCAGGAATCCGAAAATGGTGGCATTTAGGCTTCAAGGGATTCTTTCACACCGACGCCTTGCTTCCTTGCCGTGATAGTTGATTCTGGGTCAAACCCTGGTGCCTGGTACCCTGGTGATAGCTTGCAGATGAATGATATGAATGCTCACCCCGCCAAATATGATAATTTTTAGGGGCCCATTTTTGAAATGGCGGCCTTGCCTGCTGTCCGCCATGGCAGCAGTCTTCATTTTCCAAAGCGTGCAACGGCAGTTGGCAGCTCTCCACTGCCGTGTCCCAGCTGGACCCAACTAGGCCAGGTCTTTGGTGGGTCCATGAATTAATGTGGTGAGGCGATTGCCATCTTTGGACCATTCTATACTATTATATACTATTATGTCATATTACATTATGCGATATGAGATGAGATGAGATGATATGATATGAGATGAGATGAGATGATAAGGTATGATATGATATGATATGATATGATATGATTATATATATATATTATTGAATTATATGTTGTTGCACAGTCTTTACATATGTCCTAGCATTTCACCTCTCCTTACTGTGTGGCAATGGCTCAAGAAATAGCGTTAGCGGATTGTGGTGTGTTGTGGTTGGTTATCTGTTTCTACAGGTTATCAGCCGTATCGCCAAAGGTGATTTGGCTGGTTTCCTTTCGTCTCACACTTTTCGCTCGTTCCTCTCTGTGTTTAGCCATGTCTTCTCCCCCTGCGTTGCCTGCCCCGGGCGGGAACGCCACGGCTGCACTAGCATTGGCTAACACATCACAACCGGAGGAAGTGGTAATCCATTCAGGTGCGGCGACAACAGAAGGCGATATGAGTTACCTGGACGAGGACTTTGACCCATGCCGTTCTGATCCACGCAGGAATACGCCGGGTGTTTTGGACACCAACATTGACATTAGCCAGCTCAACACCATCAACTTCAATAGCATTGACCAACATACAGCACATGTTGCAGTGGTACAGCAAGGTGTTGACCCTTCGATGGCAAATCAACTCATGGCTGCTCAACAGCAGGCATTGCAGAGCGAGGCTAATGCGCTTCACTCTGAGGTCATGGAACATCAAAGGAATGCGCTTGTGAGTGAAGCTCGAGATCAACTTGCAAGCATTGAACAACAGGCAGCCGACGAGATTTCCAGGAAGAACCTTTTGTTGAACGAGCAAGCCGCCCAGGCGATGAGTGAGCAGAAATCTGCTCAGCTGCAGATCAATGCGCAGGATCATCGCATCAGGGAACTGAGTGCCGAATTGACACACGTAGTCAACAATGCAGGTATCCTCACATCAACTGCGGAGAAGTCCAACGCTGATCTGCAGACAGCCCGTTCGGAACTTGCAGAGTATCGCACTCAGATTGATGCAATGAATCAACATGCATTGAACATGCAGAAGTTGGCCGAGTCTCAAAAGAAGGACTTCGAGGCGGAGATTGAGAAGCTTCGGAAGGAGCAGAAGGAGCTCATTCGGAACTTAAAGTCTCAACCTCTGGAGGGAACTCCTGGACTCATGATTCACTATGGACCAGGAAAACCCGTTCCACAAGCTTCGCAACCCGCAAGTCCAATCATTGAAGAGTTGGCATCAGGTAGCAGGAAGCCCAAGCATTCTTCTGATGCAGATGATGAGCATTTCTTGGCAGACCCGTTGAAGCCGCCAGGACTTCCTGGTGGTGGACCTCCTGGAGATGATGACGATGATGATGATGACTTCGATGACAAAAGAGGTCACAAGGACAAGAAAGACAAGAAGAAAGGTCGCAAGACCAGCCGTGGAAGATCCAGGCGCCGACGTCGTCGGGATCCCTCGTCTTCTCCATCTTCGTCTTCATCGCCTACCACGTCCAGTTCGGATTCTGAGAGTTCTTTTGCACGAAAGGCCAAGAGGGCCTTAGAGCGTTCTAGGACTACTGATCATAAGGCCAAAGAGTCTGATAGGATCCTAGTTCCTAAGTTCCCTCAACCCGAAAATTATAGGAATTGGAGAATCCGAGTAAGGGATGCTATAATTGCTGCTTCAGCCAAACCTGACCTAGCTTTCCAATGGGTTGAAGAAGTTTTCAGGACAGATCAGTCTGTCGATGCCTTGAAGGACTCAGGTAAATTCGTGACCCTTGACGCAAAGCTCATGTCTTCGCTCACCAACATCTGCGAAGGGGACTTTGCACGGCAACTTGACATCTTTAAAGAAGAACAAGCCAAGTCAGGGACACCAGCTAGGGGACGTCAAGCATTGCTCATGATTCACAAACACTTTAGTACAAGTAGGAAGCATGGTGCAGTGTACGACATTGAGGACCTCATGGCTGTTACCTTAGTCAATGATGATCTCAGAGGTTTCATCACCCGATGGGACGCTGTGATCGCTGGAATGACTTCCGAGCCTGACATGATGTGGAAGCAAGCATACTTTCACAATGCCATCAAGACTTTCAAGCCTCTCTCTCATGATCTGGCTGTGTACGATCGCACACCGGAGGGGGAACCCAACCGCTCTTATGAGTTTCTCATGAAGGCTGCAAGGGACTACCTTGAGAGGAGACGTCTTGAGAAGATGCGGCAGGCCACCAAGAAGTCAGTTTCAGGTAAAAGAGACGCTACGCCAGCGCCGACAAGACCGCCATCTGCGGGAAAGCCCACAGGCATTTGCTATGACTTCCAGGCTGGCAAGTGTACTAGGGGAAAGGATTGCCGATATAGACATGAAAAGTCAGACAAAGGAAAAGGCGGAGGTAAGAAAGGCAAATCCAGGTCCAAGTCAAGAGGCAACAGTCGGTCTTTGTCTCCAGGATCTAGGAACCAAGTGTGTAAGTTTTGGAAGGCAGGTAAGTGTCAGCGAGGTAATGACTGTGCTTTCCAACACCCACCGAAACCTGCAGCTCCATCTACTAAAGATGACAAGCGTGGAAAGAGCCAGAAAAAGAAGAAGAACAAGAAGAAGGGCGATCGATCTAGATCGTCAAGTCGAGGTTCCAATTCCTCGAGGGGCTCTCAGAGTCTGAAAGACAAAGGGGGAAAACCATCTTCCTCTGGCTCAGCTGCAGTTTGCCTGATGCGCGCTCTGATGATGGTCGCAGTCGTCAACCCTTCGACCAGTACTCATCGCGTGCCGGAAGGCATCGCCTCTCCGCAGTTTTTCAACCAGCATTTTGCCATGCCAGTTACACCCAATCGCACTGTTTCATTTGGGGGCAACGATGAAATCTTCGAAGTTCCCATTGAGCAAAATTGTAATTTGCACCCGTGCCAAGCCAAGCAACGAACTTTCAATCCAGTTCGCATCACCAAGGACGATCGTACTCGTAAAGATACGATCGAAGCAAGAGAAAGTGATGCCATACTTGCAGCACAGATGTTGCAATCAGCTGTCTTTCGGGAGTTACATGGGTAAGCCTTGCAAATGCAGCTTTGAATGTGACAGTGATATCGGCTGTCGCCACTGCATCCGTTCCGATTTGAATGCATTGCCAGGACACATGCCATCTCAGCAGCGTAATGCATCCGCCGAGATAGCATGGATTGCAGACACTGGTAGTGCACAGGACTTAGTTTGTAGTAAAATGATTCCCGAAGAAGTTGTGTATCACTCTCCTGAACCCCTTGAGTTAATCACTGCAAATGGTTCTCAATCAGCTGATCAACAAGCTTCTGTTCATATTGATTGCATCGACAAAGAAGTTCATCCTTATGTTCTTCCTGATACCCCGGCTGTAATATCGGTAGGGATGAGATGTATTCAAGATGGATGGGGCTTTGTTTGGAAAAGCTTTAGTCGCCCATATTTCAAGAAGAAAGATGGAACAAAGATCAAACTTGAAGTTAAGGATTTCGTTCCTTATTTACCATCCAGAGATGGCCAGGTACCCGCTGCAGTAGGGATTCCATTTTCATGGGACTCCGCTGCCGGGAACGGCAAGCCCATCATCTCACCTGTTCGAAGGTCTCGCATGTCAGCCGTTGGTGCAGAGTCCGATGATGAAGTCGAGGAGGTCGAAGAACCTTATGAGGCTTCCATCGCTGACGACGATGAGATTCCCGGACAAGCCATCGACGACCTCGAGGAATTCTTTCCTGGTGAACTTGCACCAGGACCTCCAGCAGCCATGACGCCCGACGTTGTTGAAGGTTCGGAAGATGAAGCCGAAGCTCCTGAAGAACCAGTTGACGGTCGACTTCAGTTGCCTGAACCCAAGGCGATTGATCGTGGTGAAGCTGCACTTCGAGAAGAGGCCAGGACCCTTAGGCACATGATGACACACACACCCCAAAGAACCCCTTTTGTGAAACATGCAAATGTGCAAAGATGTACAAACCAACCAAACGTAGTAAAGGGGAGTCTTTGACTGTGGAATCCAACAAGTTCGGGGACCACATCACTGGGGATCACCTTGTGACTAGGGATGCCAACGAACAATCTATTGATGGTGACAGGGTTGCTATGGTCATGAAAGATGTCGCTACGAATTTTCGTTGGATTTATCCTTCAGCTAGAAGTCATGCCAAGGATTGTGTTTTAGCTTTTAGACATTTCGTTGCACCTGGTGAAGAAGTCGGAGTGTTTTACTCCCATGCAGCACCATCCATCAAGCTCGCTTGTCGGGAAGTTGGGTGGAGACAGAACACTAGTGTTGCGTATGTCTCTAAGTCGAACGCAGTCGCCGAGAGGAATCTCAGGTCCGTACTTGAAGGAACTAGAGTAAACCTAGAACAGGCAGGGCTTCATCACTCCTATTGGAGTTACGCTGCACGACATTGGTGTATGGCACACAACATCCAGGACCACCCTGAAATCTTATCTCCTTGGGAGCTTCGTTTTGGGGAAAAGTTCAAGGGACCCAACGTTCCTTTTGGGGCTCGCATTGATTATTGGACTGGACCGAAATTAAAACCCAAGAAAGACTTACGTTTTGATCCAACTTCGAACCCAGGCGTCTTTTTGGGATATGCCATGCAACCAGGTTTCGTTTGGAGAAATGAATTTCTTGTAGCATCATTGAAGGACCTCATGGAAAAAGAATTCAACGAATCTGTTCAAGTTGTCCGCGTCAACCAACTCACGGTACCAGATGGACCATTTGTTTTCCCTTTGAAAGGTAGATACAAGGCCATTAGGGAAGGTTTATATGAGTCTCTTAGCCTTGATGCTCCACCAGATCCAAAGAAGATGGACGCTCAAACAATTGAAGACTTGGTTTCTCCAAGGAAAGCTGTTGAGCCAGGACCGGTGGAGGGCGAAGAGGAATTTGAACAGTTGATGCGTGAAGCTGGACTTGAATCGGAT